TAAAAATAATTTAATTTGTGACTTAGTTTGACATTGTACAAACACTTTATTATTCCTATACTAGGTTGTTCATGCTAAGCCAATTTAATTTAGTCATTGAATTTAGTCTAATCCAAGATAGTCCAATAAAACAAACGTATCATAATAATCTTATTACATGTGAGAGATGTCTTAATAAAGTAAATTGATCGAAATTTCTCTTGTTTTATTAATGTTTGGATTACTCTCTTGTGTGGCCATTTATTTCCCTTCTGATTTGGGGTGGGTTTGAGCAAACCCCAACCCACACACCTTACTAAAAGTGGTGGTGGTGGCACCTAATTTATAGGAGATTTTCTTTTTTAATATTTAGATTTAGTGGCATCACTAATAAACATTAAATGGTTTTCTAAACCTTTTTTTGGAATAAAATTAAAAATCAAAAAATAGAAAAAACAATTCCGTTGCTAGAGGGGGAGGAGGGTCACATGCAAAAGTTACATTTTCATAGGGCTCATCTGATCACATGTGCTCACACCCGTTGTTTAGAGAGATAATCATTGCATTATTGTGAACGATCAAACCTTACAAACAAAGATTCTGCCATCCCTTCGAGTTAGACAACAATTGCATTATTGTGTATGTCAGAGGGGGCGTTGAGGGGGTGCGAAAGGTGCAATCGTACAGGGCCCCAAATTTGAAGGGGCCCTCAAAATTTTTGTTACCTAATATTTATATGTAATAATATTCTATTTCAAATTGCTTTTGTTATGAAATAATGTTCTATATTCAAAAATTGATTTTGTTAGCACTTTAAAATCTCATCTTACACTCCTTACAAGCGTAACAATAAGAAATTTTGAGTGCTAATAATACACCATAAAAGACGATATTTTTTTCAATATTATTATGTAATAATGTTACATATTCAAGTGAAACTTTAAGGTTAGAGTTTTTGAAGTTTGTTTTCTTGTTTGGTTTTTTAAGATTGAACTGCTTATGATTGTTTAATGAACGTTATTGTGACATCCCACATCGCCCAGGGCAATAATCCTTAAATGTATATTCCCATCCCTACCTAGCACGAGGCCTTTTGGGAGTTCACTGGCTTCGGGTTCTGTAGGAACTCCAAAGTTAAGCGAGAAGGGGGCTAGAGCAATCCCATGATGGGTGACCCACTGGGAAGTTGCTCGTGAGTTCCAAAAAACAAAACCGTGAGGGAATGGTAAGCCCAAAACGGACAATATCATGCTACGGTGGTGGAGCGGGCCTGGGAAGTGATCCGCCCGGACCGGGATGTGACAGTTATGCTTGTAGCTCTTTTTACTTATTATTAATATCATTTTTAAACTTGCAATCAGTGAGTGCTAAACTTTGTTTTGATTTAAATGATTGTTTTCTAGCGTTAATACATTGTCTTACATTTGTTAAGACTATCTTAAGGAGGGACACTTTTATAAATTTCGCACAGGACCCCTAAAATCTCAGAGACGATCCTGGTGTATGTGAGCCAAATCATGCACACCTAATTAATACGACATGCAAGCACGGTTGGAAGAAAATCACATTGGTTAAGACATGTATAATTCAATTTGATCGCAACTCTTGATTCAATGAATTTGGCTTTGTAATTGATATGTTTTATCATTGGCTGTATATAATTATGTGCTTATTTATCTCATCAGCATGATTTCTTATAAAATATTTACCCTTTCACCGGTCGTATAATTATTCTGCCTTATTTACACAATCAGAAAAATAGTTTCACAAATATATATACAACCGAAAATCCAAGAATCATACCCTACTAATTGAATTTTGAATTGCACAAGTTGAGGCATCCATAATCCATAACTTTAGAAGTTTATGTTAGATATAAGTAATAAACTACGTTGATTGGCATTAAGTTTTAGAAGTTTATGTTAAATATAAGTAATGAACTACGATGCTTGACATTTTAATTCATAAAAGAGAAATATTAGCATTACTGAAATCTAGTTGATTCAATATTAAGAGATTAGCTTCGTAGCAGGTACTCCGTTTTACTGCAGCAAATTAAATCGGGATATATATAGGCCAATGTATGTGTTTGGCGCGAAGATTTCTCTGGAGAAGGATCCTCGGACCTCATCATAGCTCTCAAAGGATTGACACTTTAGATGTGTTGTTGGGCTCTTACTTGTTGATGTGCTACAATAAGAGGATAGAGTTAGTTTTGAAAGGTGCATTTGTGAAGCCTTAGGTGTAGGCCTTGAGGCTTGCAATCAAAACCAAGTGAATGCTAGGCGTGCCACTACTATCTCAGTATAGCAGATGTAGAACAAGTGTGTTTAGTTGATTACTTGCACCCCAAGTTACTCGGACTTCTTGTTATCAAATGATTGTCATAGATGGGTTAAGTCCACGTAAGTTCTTTTTCTTGCTTTGTGACCAAGGACTTTTAGTTCATAGTTTTGTATGTTTGAATGAAGGGAGTCCAGAGCCCTCTAAGTCATTTACTTGGTTCTTGATTGATTTTAATGAAAGCATATTCATTAAAATGATTAGATTCAGATACAAATGAGACTCTTAAAGTAGGAAAACTGATGGAAACAACTTGAATACATAATGGAGAATGCATTAAGTAATAGATCTACAAATTCAGAAAACAAACAAAGAGCTTCGGACAAGATTTCACCTTGTCTGCAAGGTTGAACCTCTTGTAATCGCTTCTCTTTGAACTAACAGGGGTTTATTCGCTAAAAGGGGATGAATGGTAAACAAGATTACACGAGGGAATCGATACTAGAGAAAGATAGGCTTTATAAGGAAATCTAGACAAAAGATAGCTTGTCGCTAAAAATGACTGAATATAGGTTGAATTCAACTTTTGGATGCAAATTTGGCTTGAGAGCAGAGTTTGTATGTTTGTTTGTTTGATTGGTCGAGTGTCCTTGTCTCTGGGGCCTCTTCCTCCTTTTATAGGCAAATTAGCCCAACTATTGTAACTTTGTTCTTGCTCGAAAGCACTTTGGAGGGTAGTGAGTTTTCATCTTTTTACTTGTAATGCCACTAGAAAGTGTTCTTTGGCTGGTAGTAGGTTAGTCTCCATCACTTGTCACTTCAGTGGCAAGCATGCGGCTTGCATTTTGGCTGAGAAAGCCTCAATTTGCTTCTGGGCTTGGTGCTGGGCTTCAGGCAAGTCTCCTTGAATTAGGTATTCTTGAGCTTTTCTTCATCTAAATCCAATGTTCAAATATTAACCCAAATAGTATGTCACCATATATGCTCTCTTTTATATATCACTATTTTTTTCTCTCTAAAATATAAGAGTCTTATACGACAAATACATAGTCCTTACAGAAATCCTATCATCTTGTTTTTCTATCGTAATTCTAAATTATGGCTAAGAAGGGGCACACAATATGGATTTACTAAATAAGATTTTGTGTCTATATTACTACTTTCTAGTTTAGAATCACATAGTGGCACAAATATAATTACTAGACTAGAGTATGGCATACCATTCTATTGAAATGTCCCACATCGATCGTATCTATGAGAAAATAAGAGTTTAATACTCTAATCCCACTTCAACTAATACTGAAGCATTTTGTAATAAAACCCCACACCTGACGGATGGGTAGGTGGTAATTACCAAGTTGGGGATAATATCAGTGTTGTTGGAGTGGGTCATTGGCTCGTCTCTCTGATAATTCTATGTGGTATCAGAGCCAGGAAGCGAGCCCATGCTGTAATGCCACGTGATGGGTGGGTCTCCTTAGCCCTACGTGTAGGGTGAGTCCCATTGGCTCCGCATGGTTGTCAATGTGTGGATCTCCCACATGGGGAGTGTGTTGAAATGTCCCACATTGATTGTATCCATGAGAAAAGAAGAGTTTAATACCCTAATCCCACTCCAACTACTACCTATGTCTTTTGTGATAAAACCCCTCACCTTACGGATTGAGCAAGTAATAATTACTAAGTTAAGGACAATATCGGTGACTAATACCGAGGTCTTTTGTGATAAAACCCCACACCTTACGGATTGAGCAGGTAGTAATTACCAAGTCAGGGACAATATCGGTGTGGTTGGAATGAAACGTTGGCCCGTCTCTCTGATAATTCTACACATTCTACTTCCTAAACCATAAAAACAAAAAGGAAAAGAGCAGCATATAATAATAGAACAATAATACACCAAAGTTATGGGGTGTGTGTATGAAGAGACATGTTTTATTGTTCTCCGGGGAAAGGCTTTCATTTGTTGGAATCTTTGTTTTTCTAAGATTTGGAACTAAATATTATATGCTATATACTATATACTATGTACATGTTGCTAGATATATGTGTGTGTGTGTATATTTATTATATGCCAGTGCACTTTGCAATATTATTCATCACCTTCTTTGAGCCAACTCAATCTTCCATGCGTATTCCGTTTCCACCAATTCCTCCACCATCATCTAGATAATGCCAAAATTAATCATAAATAATAATAACACAGTTCTTAATTAGCTCAATCACATTGGACTTAATCCATTATTTATAGACAAAGCCATATAGATTATAGTTTGTTTAGGTCAAGACATGGTATTAGTGTCTCAGATGTAGAGAAAAAAGAAGGAAAGCACCCCAAATCGAGGACTAAATTAAACCCTCACTCATGTTCTCTTAAACTTTCTCTTAAACCCTATAAGTAAAGAAGATTATAATCACTCATAATTCGATGTTAATTCAATAATAGATGATCGTTTTATTTTTTAGGGTAAATATCAGTTTACTATCCTCAAGTTTCGTGGTTTTCAACATTTGGTACATGAAATTTTTTTCGTCCCAGAATTATACCTAAAGTGTTAATTTTGGGACAGTTTCATACATTCGTTAGTTTGTCTGTTAAATCAGCCGTTAACTAATGACGTGATGCCCATGTGGACAATGACTTAGCACCACGTGTCAATATGGCCGACGTGGATATTAAAAAATAATAATACAAATTAGAAAAAAAAAAAAAAAAAAAAAAAAAAACCACCCTTCTACTACCTCACACCTCGACCCCCTCCCCCTCCGACAATCGCACCCAAACCCTCCATCCCCCCGATCCCACCCAACCCTCCATCCTTTCTCTTGCCCACCCAACCCTTCGTCCTTTCTCTCTTCACCCGACCCCCTCCCTCCCTTCTCTCCTTTGCACACCCTCTCTGCCAGAAGCTCTTCCGTAATGACCCTTTGAGCTTCCCTTCCACTATATACACCTTATAGCTCGCCACCCTCTTCTTCCTCCGCATCTTTGGATCACTCAAGCTCCAGCTCTTCGTCTCCAACTTCCCCTTCCTGATCATCTCGCCGTTGTTTCCCGCCTGGGTTTGCTGCTGCTGCAGTGCACAGAGGTTGCGTAGGAGGCGCTGTAGCACCTGAGATCCTGCATCCCATTGACCCCCGACGAAGCGGGTCCGCCATTGTAGCTCTCCATCTGCGACCTTCCGTGACCGCACGATCTGGATCTGAAATCTTCCATTCCATTTGCGACCTTCCACCATTGTTTGAATTTGGTACAGAGGAGGGAAGAGATTTCTTTGGGGTCGTGGTTTGTTGAAGAAGAGAGAAAGGAGGGAGGGGATCGGGGGTTGAGGTTAAGCCCATAAATTATTATTATTATTTTTTTTAATATTTTTTAATATTTATGTGGGCCTTTATGACACGTGATGCCTAATCATTGTCCACGTGAACGCCAAGTCACCAATTAACGGTTGATTTAGATGTATGAAATTGTACCAAAATTAACACTTTAGGTATGACTATGGAACAAAAAAAATGTCATGTACCAAATGTTAAAAACCACGAAACTTAAGGGTAGTAAATTAATATTTAGCTTATTTTCTAATTAAGATTGAACAGTGAATCACCATAATATTCTTGAACTATGACCTAAGAAATCAAAACTCATTAAACTTTAGCTCGAATAATGGAGGACTAAATTAACTCCTCAGTCATGGTCCAAAGAAATTATGGTCACTCATAATTAGATAATAATTTAACAATAGGTAACCATTTTACTTTTTTGTTGTACTTTCTTCGCTAACATTGAATTAAAATCAAACGGTGAGTGACCACAATGTTCTTAAAATATGATCTAAGAAATGGAATTCAATAAACCCTAACTTGAATAATTGCGCGCACTCTCTACGTGCACACGTGCATGCGTGTGTCTTCCATGCTCGAACATGCATTTTGTTATAGGCCCACAGGCATGCACGTATGTATATACTTGGTCACACGAAGTCCGTTTATGGTTAAGTTTTGATAATTTATGGGGCTAGCTCAGTAGCTCTACATATCTACAGCTCTGACGAGGAGCACATGAACTCAGGACAATGATGAATTTGACTGGAAAACGATGGCTTACATCACTAATCGCATGCTTGTATTGAAGAAATCACAAGTACACTCTGAAAATTAAAGTGCCTCCTGTCCCTTAGAGCGAGGGGATATCATCCATAATCTTGCAGGATAGTTGCAGAATGTGAGGGGCCGGTCAATCAACAGAATTCAGTCAATAATCAACTGGTGGTTCGCATCCCGCCATTATCCAGCAAGATTCATCTTGCATTATAGAAAGCCTCGTGGTCTTTTGTTTTTAGTTTAGGTTTTGATTTCGATTTAAGAGAGGGATAGACACATCTCAACGCACCGAAAAAAAGGTGAAAACTGCATTTACAATATGACATACGGAAGTGAAAATAACTAGAGATTAAACACAGAAAAACTCAAGGGTCACGTGATTCTAATTTATTGAGATATAAGAATCTGTTTGGAAATGGAGATGGTAGTACAGAATACATACATACATACATACATACATGTTACATGATGTACAATTATGTCCGTTGGTGGTTTGCACGTCCATCCTACCAATTCGGGAGCTTACATACTGTGATTTTAAAATCAATAGAGAAACAATTTTTCCCTATATCGTACATGCTAATCCTAAATACGAAAAAACTTGTAATACATATGTTTCTTCGTTTTCATGGGGACTGACAATTGATGTTAGCAATCAATACAATCACTGGTGTGTTCCCGGGCGATTTTGCTTCCCACTCTTCTTCAGAGATATCTGCGTCGAAATCCCACACGAAATTAGTTGTTTCTACCATTAGATGTTTGTGACAGGTGAAGTTACTTAATGCCATGGAAGAATTAGGGACCCATAACTAACACCCTAGCAACTAAATAATGATTAAATGACAACCGATGTGCACAACGAGGTGAAGGCTCAGTTTGGATTACCAAGAGAAGATCCTCATCGGTACCAAAGGATTTGCGGGCTTCTTCTAAGCACGTTGAGGAGATCCTCTCATTTTTCCTGCAGTTACCAGAGTGTAATCTTTTATAAGCTAAAAAGAATTTGGGAACACAATCAAAGTGTTCACCGTGCCTACAGAATGCAAATGTAAGCACACATGCATGTAAATCTCGTATCGAAGACTATTGACATAAACAAAACTCATTGAGGGCATGCTTACTCACCAGGAATGGGTATGGAAGGTATGGGTATCATCCCCATTCCTGAAATATCCTGCGTTTACTATCACACGAGGAATAAAAAATAAGTGTGCCCCGCATCAAAATCATTTATCCCTTGCCTAATCAACCAGGTATCGTATCACCAAGGAGGGGGTAGTTTATCCCGTACCTGAACAACCATGCCTTTCCCCATTCTAAGTAAGGAAACATGCGATGAATGATAACGACCATAGGGTTTGACTTCTTCAGCACTATTGGCTGTATGCAAGCATAATGCAGCCTTTCCGAGTAACATTTGCAGCCTTAATACAGAACATCTCGAAATAATACCAGGTGTGGGAGACTCAATTAATCAAGATTCAGAAGATCAAATTTCACCCCGACCATCAATAGGTTTAGCCGGTGGATATCGGATCTTCTTAACTATTCTTATGGTGGAGTACCACTCACTCACGTTGCTAGACTTTAAACCGAATAGCAGGAATGTCATAGGGTGATGAACTTAGTGTAAATAATAAAATTAACTTAGTTTTATGTGATGGGTAGATTGGGAATCATGATGAACTAAGACTTCCTCTGACAGACAACCTTATTGAACAGGTAATCGGTAATGTCTTACTGAATTTTGAGCATAGTTAGTCTACTAGTCATCAGTTTCTTATTTCAATTTGTACATTTACAGTAGAAATCATGAAAGCTGGATTGTCTCCTATCCTCTCTAAGAGGTTTGACAAACTTGAACTTATCATACGATGGGTTTTCATAACTCATCACTCTAATCTTTCTACTAAGTATAACTTATTAGTCAAGGAAGGAAGTGTTGAATTTGTTTGCCTTACTACACAAAATGTAAGAAATTGTTGGAGTCAGGTAATCTCCAAATTGATGTCATCATGCTTTATACCAGTGAGAAAGCTAAACACAAACGAAGATGACCCAACGACATCAATAGAAGATAAGGTAACAGATTTTCTTCTTCTTTCCCAAAAAAGAAGGGAAAAGAAAAAAATTTGTAATGAAGATAATACCTTGAACAGGCCGGATCTCTAATTTCAAACTCATCTGCAGTAGTGTCATACCCACATATGACGACATAGTGACCTACAAAAGACAATAATAATAATAATAATCAGTAATCAATTCATCTAAAGACATAAACTTCTGAAGGTTGTGACTGGGAGCAGAAGTGAATAATCAGGACGTGCAAAAAGATACTTCATCCCAGCATTTACTTTATTTATTATTATTAAGGGGAGGGGGAAGGGTTTGAAATTATTACAATAATTTATGGGAGGGGGGATTTTTGAACCCAAGACGCATGGGTAGAAACCCAACAACCTATCCACTAGGATATTGGACCATATACATCATCCGAGCATAGAGCATGCCTTTAAGTTTAATTATAATTCCATAAACTGTTAATTCAGAAGAGCTGGGGAAATCATGTTGGAGAAACATCCTATAGGAATTAGCTCATTGCTAACCACCGTTCTCACTTTTTGGAAATGGAATGACATTAACATGAATTACAGGCCTACGAGCTATGTTATCACGGTTCTGAACACAAGAGGTCATCCAACCTGTCTTGCTAAGCTTAAATAATATGTGCAGAAAGATGCTTACAATCTCCAGGGTAATATAGGTGCTAAAGTAGATTTTGACTAGGAGTTAAGCTAACACAAGCATGAGCTTGTCATTTTTCATGTATTCATGTCCCGTTTTCCTTTCTTTTGGTCAACTAGTACTTATACAACATGTATATCCTCCTCCCTCCCCTCGCTTCCCCCCCCCAAACAAAAAACAAAACAAAAAAAAGCACAATCATGTCATACTCAACACTGAGTGGTGAAAAACTTTTTAGTTCAGATTATTCAGCACCAGGGTAACTAAAAGTAAAAGTCCTACCTGTGTAACCAGAGTTGCTTACACAATAGTCTGAGACAAAAACATCGTCCGGAGAAGACCTACTGTGACAAAATTTTGACAGAAATATTTTTCCATTAGCCCAGTAAGACTTGATCATATATGTCATACATTATTGCGCAAGCAGTAAAGAACAGTTATCAATCAAGGTGGAAGAAAGAAAGAAGGGAAAGCGAGAAGTTTGAACCTCAATTTATACTGATCAACCAAAACAATGGCAATGTACTTCCCGGACAAAATCGAGAAACAAATTTCTTCTCGACTTATTGATCTGCGCTGTAAACAAAAGAAGGAACGTTTATTGCCTTGTTCTAAGAAAATTATAAGTAAAAAGGACGTCTGGCTCTTAATTTGGGAAGAGGTAACCAAGAACTGAAATGAGCAGCTAGCAATTATACCTGTATATTAATTCCGGCTTCTAGTGCTTTTTGAAATAGATTATCAACTCGCTCCAGATCATTAGGTAATTGCTCCTGCAGAATAAATCTACTTATTTGAAACTTTTATGCGCATCAAGATTTGAAAAGACAAGCTCACAAGTATATGAACTAAGAAAAGTGATACTACAGTCTTTAAATCCAAAACAAGTTTTCTTTTCAAAATAAAATAAAATATTCAACTTCTCATTTCTTTTACATATAACAAACGCAATAAGTAGCATTACTCGTACTCATGCAGTTTTAGGTGACACTCATTGGTAAATATTCAAAGTTCGGCTAATGCCAGGAAATCGTGACAGACAATGATCTTGTCTATATGCAGTTTGGGTCCTCGTTGTCATATGATATATGCATCTATAATTGATAGACAATTAGGCTTAGATGTGCATTCCAGATCTTGCAAACAACCAATACAATCTAGTTCATACTAACCAACACCAAATACTGTCAACTAAAACTTATCCATCTTAAGAGTAAAATCACCTTGTAAAATGTCTCGCCAGAATAATTAGGGTTTGCTCCAAATGTCACTGTGTAGTAGGAAAAACTGATAGAGAACTTCTGTAGTAAAAATGCTAGATCAACGGTCCAAATGCTGCAAACAAGATGCAAGCACTCAGTTATACCAGAAACTTTTCACGTAAGCACATGTTGAATATGTCACTGATGAAACAAGTATAAGTCTAACTTCAAATTTTTTGCAACAAGAAGGTATCAAACATTTTTATATACTCCATAACCATTCCAACTTCACACAAACATACCTAGGATGCTCCATAGCTATTCAAACTTCACACAAAAAATATTGATTTGTATACAAGAAGAAACATAAAGTCATCTGTTGGTTGAAAAGTGAATGAGAAAAAACGACTAGTGTTGCATGTTACTTGTTTCTGTATCAGAATACATAAGGTATAGCCACAGCATGCGCTTCTGTAAATAAAACCTTTAGGAAAAAAAATAAACTGATATAGTAATTCAAGTTAAACTCTAGCAGCTTCAACATTAGATTGAGGACGGACTTTTATTCATCTGCACTTTTTCACCAATCGTCAAACTCATAACCCTATAAACATCAATCAATTTATAAAGGACAATACTCAAAAGGAAAGTACATAACAGACCTTCTGTAATAAATATGCTAGATCAACGGTCCAAATGCTGCAAACAATATGTCAGCATTCAGATATAACAGAAACTTTTCATATAAGTTTGTATTGAATATGTAACAGATGTATCAACTATTAACTCTAGTCTCTAGCTGAAACTTTTGGTAACAAGAAAGGTATCAAGCATTCATATCATATCCCACCTAGAATATTCATTTCCGTAACATACAGCATGTCCTCGTAAATAAACCTTCTAAGAAAGAGTAGATTAATACAGCAATACAATAAAAGGCTAGTTTTTTCGAGGAATGGATTTTATTCGTCTACACATTCTATCTTCACCAATCACAAAACCCATAATGCTATAAACATTGATAATTTCTAAAGAACAAATTCTCAAAGGAAAGTACATAACAGTAGTAAAGGAGGAAATGAAGTTCTGACTCTATAAAGAGGGGAACACCTATTTGTGTGACATAGCTCTGCCAATGTCTGAATATCGCAGTTGTCTATGCCAAGGGTCCGAAAGACCATAAGAACACAGGCGAGGCCGCAATCCCAAGAATCTTGCTGGTTTATGTGCGGGACCTATAAGCACCAGGACAGCTAAACAAATTAAAACTAACAATACGATTTGATGGGTCCACTTGGAATCCATATACTGTTATCAGGGTACATACTGAAAACAGTTGTAATTTCAATGTAGATGATCAATAAGAAAGGTAGCGACAGAATCACAATAAACTCACTTCAACAAAGTGCGAGCAGGGCAACGGATGTTCACATGGGTAGGGTTCTACCATGCCTGAATGTTCACCATTCGATACATCTTCATCTTCTGTCTTAAGAATCTTATTGAATAAAAAATACGAAGGCCACATGTGTGAGCCACTTCGCTAAGGGTTTTCACCCCGCCACACTAAATCTCAGATATTTAGATAATCAAAATGGTTATTGCACTTGGTTATCCCAGTAACAAAGTTCCCCAAAAATCTTTAAAGGGTATATTATATAATTATATATCTCCGCAACCTGTTGCATTTTGAACATAGAAATATATCAGGTTTCTGAACTAAACAACAAAGAGGAATGAAATATTAATTTCTCCAACCACGAAAAAAAATGCTGTAATCAAACAACATTCGTACTTTGCCAGGGCATGATGTATGAAAGACTATTACAGATTCAGTTAGGCTATTTAGGACTGCTTCTGTGGGAAGCACTTCTGCTCATAACTGCTTTTTCTATAAGTACTTTTATATAGAAACACATTGAAATTCTTTTTAGAAGTCCATGTGCTTCTTAAGCTTTTCTGCCAAACATATTCAGAAAGCGCTTTTAGCCCTTCCAGAAGCAGTCCCAAACAGGCCATTAATTCTAAGCCAACTCAGGCAGAATCAAGCTGAGCTTGGACAGTCTCATCCATGAATCAAATCAAGCTGAGCTGCTTCCCCATTTGCATTCAATTATTCAGTTCAAATGGAAAACCAGGGTTTCTGATTTGGAAAGAAGCTATTGGATGCTCACAAGAACGTAGCTTTACACATGGTAACGAATCCGACGCGAAAACCCATAAAATATAACCAATCAATTTCCATAAATTGGATTAAATTTCCAGTTTCCGCAATCAAAACGGACAAAAAAAAAAAAAAACAGCATCATCAATAATTGAGCTCAATAATTCATCAAAAACAACATTAAAGCTCAATACTTTGCAATCTGAGGTATCAAAACGAAAGCAATGGTCAGAGGCAAAGCAATCCAACCGCAAGTTTCAGATCAAAATCCAATCATTTCATAAAACAGATGGAAAAGCGAATAATGTAAAAAGACATGACCTTTGACGGAAAAGACGACAGAAGCGGAAAGGCGGGCAGAGTTCCAAGGAATCCTTGTCTGGCTGGTTATGTCCTTGTCCGATTCGATCCTGCCCGGAAAAACATTCAGATTCTAAATTCCATGTCTTGTGTTTTTCAGCTCTTAAATATTTTTGTGTTTTGTTTTGGTTTCTCAAATTGACAAAAACTTGCGGTTTCCTTTTTCTCTTATTTTCGTTTGTCGCCGCCACACAAAAATATTTCCTTTGTTTGCTCAAAATAAATATTATATATATTTCATTTGTGGGGATGAGAAATGTTGGGTTTAATCGCAAATTGACAAGTGGGTTGCAGGAAAGAGAGAGAGGGAGAGGAGGAAGGAAGAAGAAGGCCCAGTGGGTTTTTGTGCTGATGGCTTGGGCTAAAAACTGAAGGAATCGGGATCTCTTTATTCTGACATTGTTTGGTAGTACTGGAATGCGACAACGTGATATGTATAATTATTTATTTACTTTATGAAAAAGAAGACAATTGTTGATAGGCTGGTTATCTACTTTTTTTCAGGTCCGGAGAGATTATAGAGAATTTCATTCTGCTCGTGGTCACAATCAAGTAGACTCATCAGCTTGGAGTATCAAACCTGGAATCTCTCACATTTTTTTGTTTATTGGGCATCAGCAATCTACGCCTTTACCATTGAGCCACTTGCTATAATTTGTGATATGAATAGTTCACGTGTTAAAAGTATGTAGACCAATATGATTGATATTTTTTCACATTATTTAACAACGTGACAATATTTCAATGATGTATAATAGTTACTTGCCTATGAATTCTTGTGACAAATAATTTTTTTTTTCTTTGTTAGCAAATAGTTGAGTTATGTAGAGTTTGATTGAATTATGTCGTTGTTAGTTTTTGGTTTTATTTTTTCTATGTACCCTTTTCCTATATCTTTCAACTATCTTTCTTCACTCTTCTATATCTCTTATTTTTCTCATGATTTCTCATTTATCTCTTTGAAATCCTAAAAATGAAACAATTATCAAATGGATTTATAGTTTTCAACCACCACAGGATGACCCAATGGTTGGGGACGAATTCCATGTAGGTATTCCACATGGCACATCGTGGGTTAGATTCTCGGTTCTAATGAATCGCACGATGGTGGCTAGAGAAGGTTGAAATGTCTTTATGAGTCTTGCCGACCTCTGAAATCTTGGACTGTCGTACATAGATAGTAACATAATATTTATTCTCAATTTTCCCAGATAAGTACATAGTTACATACTATTTATTTTCAATTTTTTCAGATAAGTAAATATTATTTTGTAACTAGAGAATCCAATGTATTTGAATGAGATTGGCCAACGAACTTCCCCCAGCCTACAAATGAAACCTGCCACAAGTTGTAGAGGGTGTAGCTGACGACAGTGGGTTTCAGAACAGATCCAATTTGTAAGAGACAACCACCTATTCAAATTTAAAGTATCTGAAATTTATGGCCCAACGTTGAATGCAAAAGGAGGGAAAAATAAAATGAATGCAGAAAGAAAATGCAACTTTTGCGCTTGCGAAAAGCAACCTCAACAAGGCTGGAAAGGCTGTAGCGCATGAGAACCATACAAAAAAGTCAAAGGATTTAGCTTTTAGCTTATAGCTCATTGCTTCTGCTTTCACAGTCACTAACGGCTATTTAAAATCCAAAAGACTTTTGGTTTTTTGCTACTTTATTTTATTATTTATTGGTTTATTTTGCAGTCGCGACATGGGAGGATATTTGAACTTTAGTCCTCTTCGTCTTTTTTATTTTTATTTTTATTTTAAATTTATTATTATTAAGAAGAGAGGGGATAATTATAAATATTACAATAATTTAAGAGATGAAGGATTTTGAATACGAAAAGAATAAATAAAAAATTAATATCTCATCTACTAAAGTATTGGATCACATACATCATTTTCGTCTTTGATCATGCAGTGCTGTGCTCTCCACCATGCAAACTATTCAGTATGATGAATATGGTGGGGCATTTGCCTTGAGGCCCTCTTCATCCTTTTATGTTGGAAGTTGGGAGTTGGTGGAATTCCACACATATATAACTTGGGGGATTTCAAGCAGATGAAACCACCCTTGAATATTTTATAAATCTCATAATATTGGATTCACTAGTAGCTAGGTTTATCCTTCTTCTGTACTACTTTGATGAACAGAACTTGTAGTCTTTATTTATTATGGTAAGGCAAGATTTTGCTCACCTAGTTGGGCAAGACAAGGTAGTGCGATGTTGCAAAGGACTGCAAATTTTCTTTTCTACCCAAAATCAACAACTATTTTTATCTTTTCTCCTCCATTCAAACCGATTTCAACCAAATTCATTCACTTCACTCAAATTTCTCAATCCCAACTTCTTTCTTTAATCTCTCAAACGCCACCATTGCTAAGACTAACTCACCAGTCACCAATAAGAAACTTAGGCATTACACCAAGTTTTTATACCTTGCCCACCCTAATAATATTATTAATTCATTATCGATAGTATACTAACAATAAAACGGACCAATTTTGTTCAAAACATAAAGGTCAATTGCAACTAGAAAGTAAAATAGCGTCTCATAAACCGTAGGATTTTCACTTTTTACTAAAATTCAAGCAAAAAGTCCAAAGGGAAGTTCAAAGGTGAATAATATATATATATATATATATATATATATGGATTTTAGTCATTCAACGAGGTGCTTTTTTGTAGCTCATGGACCACTTACCCCCCTTAAAAGCGGATAGGTATTGTATGCCCTTCACTTACCATCCCTTTTCTTTTCCTTCTTATTTGAGCGGTTACGGTTAAATCATGTTATAAAATATTAACGTGGCTTAATCGTGACCGCTCAAATAGGAGAGAGATGATAAGTGGAGGGTAGACAATCCCCATCCCTTAAAAGCTACCTTATTGATTCTCAAATCCCATTCATTTGAATTACCAAAGTGCCCTCGCCTAATTACAAAATATTTGTTTACCCTCTTTAAAAAGGCTTTTTATATTAGTACTCCACAAAATATTGGATGCAACCCACAATAAAATTTAATATTAAATAACTTATTTACCCCACTATGCAATGATATTTTTTATCTTATTAGGTTTAAAAAAAAAAAAATCTAAATACACCCCAAATCACTTTTAGCGTATTATTTATATTCTCAACTATCAAAACCCTCTCATCCTCCATTGTTGAACAAAACCCTAACCAATGAAACTACAAACATGTTGATTGAGAAAAATTGTTTTTGACGAATGGAACACGAAATCGATGTTTTGAAAGCTTCACATGAGGTAAGATTTCATATTTTCCATTGTTTTAGTGATTTTGATGACATCGATAATTATTTAATCTTACGTTTATTGAATTAAACTTCTATGTTCATATTCATTTTTTAGGTTCATATTAATCTTGTGTGCCTAGTAACATGAGTCGTGTTAGTGCTGGAGTCATATACTACTTTTACAAATTGAGGATAGCCATTCTCCACAGGAACTCCTACATTCAATCTTTTGCTGTTTGTCGGGATCTTCCATGCCTTAGGAACCGACGCAAAATCTCCGGAATGTATAATAGGTCCAACATTGGATTTAGAAGTTGAACAAGGATCACTTGTGTTTTTGGATTTCAATTTTCTCACAAGTCCACTCTGTGGTGTCCAAAACCCAATTCTTCTTGTTGCATCACCGAACGCATTTACCATTTCAAAGACGGATGTTTGTAATTGCCCATCAACAAAACTGAAATCCCCACCAAAGCCTCTAAATTTAGTACCTGACAAGGATTTGCAAAGCTCTGAACCATTTTGGGAGATCCCAATTGTTTCAAGATCATTTGATGAGTTGGTGGAAGCATTAGCCTTTTCATAATCAATTAAAAGTATAAGACTAATATTGATAAGGTGTATATTGAGAATTAAAAATGAGTGTTATAAGATTTGAGAAATGTGGGGTATATAGAAAATGTGGGTTGTATTAAGTATGTAAGGTTTATTTAACAATTTGTGGGGTGTTAATATAATAAGCCCATAGGGTAGTAACTACGAGCATTATGGTTTCTAGCCACCAGAAGTAAGGTCTTTCAGATTGGCATCACTCTTCACTCTGGTTCCTGGCATTTAAAATCAATAGAATTAGTTTATGAATTTGTTCACTATCAATATGGTCATTCTCTGAAAAATCTTCGTTAAATAAGGATAAAATGAAAAAAATACTCCCAAATTTTTGTCAAATCATTTTGGGTCATCATTTATTAAATTGAAAGTATATTTGTCATTTTGATCTTTATTTAACATAAATTTTTCACGAAGTGATCAAAATACTTGATATGAAAATTTTCTTTTGTGGTCCATAAATGGCAATTAAATTTGCGTTTTGGGTGGTCCAAATTGACAACATTTTTCTTTAGTGGGATTCATACCATATGTTATCATTATGTGGGTTGGTCCCTTGTCCCCATACTAATATGCAGGTGAAAGAAAATAAACCAGAGATCATAGATACTTGTTGGGGCCAGGGGCCATGTTAGGTCTGGGTTTTCAGGCTGAATCCCACTCGGGACTTGTTGATTTGATGGCATGGAAGAACAGTTGCAAATTCAGGCTTTGAAGATCATCAAATTTCAACCTTGACCTAACTTTCCTATTCCATATAAGTTCATGTACGCTCATGATTTTCGATTTTTCCATTTCTTTGATCAAGATAAAAACAAAGTAAATTCTCAATGGATTTTTCTCCCAATAATTTACTTTATGTGAGTAGCTTGTAGATTCAATTCGATTTTCCAATTATCTCGATAGATTTGCAGTGTATTGGAGAATTGGAAGACCTTTCAACTTGAAAGGGGAATGAATTTTTTTATAGGGGCTACTTGACGAACTTGTAAAGCTGTCAGATTAGAAGTTGCCATGTCTGACATGAGTAAAGCCAAACTAACTAACAAATAGGGGGTTTGTGTGTGTTTGTGAGGAAGGGTGGGACTATAGAATTGTCCACCTAAGTACAATGTACCTTCTCAATGGAATTTTCTGCAATGTCGGATGAGTTTTGCGACATAGTTACACATGCAGCCACCTCAATGAATTTATCTCACATTGAAAATTTTCTGTATGACCTAAAGTGACTACAGATTAAGGGTTATGCATGCTTAACCTTAAAACCGATGTATCTTCTCATAAAATTTTCTTCAAAGTGAAATGTGCACAACATAGTTGTTAAACATAAACAACCGATCGATTGACACAATAAC